TCTTGAAGTAATCATTTTCTGTATGACTATCAGTCTCTCACATCATTACAGGGGAATTTGGGCCCATTCTTCTTTACAACAGTGTTACAGTTCATTGAGGTCTGTTTCAGTCAGGTTGAGGTCTGAACTTTAACTGGGTCATTGCAACACCTCGATTCTTTTTTTTCAGCTATTCTGTTATAGATTTCCTGCTGCACTTGGGATCATTGTCCCGTCTCGTGACCCAGTTTGGGCCAAGCTTTAGCTGTCGGACACATGGCTTCACATTTCACTCTAGAATACTTTGGTATACAGAGGAGTTTACGGTTGACTCAAAGACTGCAAGGTGTCCAGGTCTTGTGGTTGCAAAACAAGGCCAAATCATCACCCCTGTACCACTGTGCTTGACAGATAGTATGAGGTGTTTGCACTGATATGCTGTGTTTGGTTTTCTCCAAATGTGTTGCTGTTTATTATGGCCAAACATCTCCCCTTTGATCTCATCTGTCCAAAGGACATTGTCCCAGGCATCTCGTGGTTTGTTCAGAGAGAGAACAAAGCCTGGCAACATGTCCAAACAAGCCATACTTGCTCAGTTTTTTTCTCATTGCACTGTCATGAAATCAAACATGCTAACTGAGGCCTGTAGAGTCTGAGATGCAGCTCTTGGGTTTGTTGCAGTTTCTCAGAGGATTGCACACTCTGGAGAAACTGACCTTTGGGTGATTTTGCTGGAACATCCATTCCTGGGAAGATTTTGACATTGTGTTAACACACACCTGCATGCTCCAGACCAGCAAACTGCCAAAACTTCTGCTTTTATAGAGATGCTCCCGCCTGCTGTTGATCAGTTAATCAAGTATATTTGATTAGCAGCACCTGGTTCCTATTGAGTCTCTTAATGCCTATGGAAGCAGAGAGGGAACATGTTCTTTTTCACATGACTGTAAATGAGTTGATTCCAAACAATTTGTACTATTTGCAGTGAACCTCTAAGTTTAGAAACTGACCCAAACCAGAACAATGTCCTCGACAGCATAATAGAACTTACACCATCATGGCCTCACAGGATTTGGGGTTTTCTTGAATTTGTCTGTAAGTGTGTAATTCTTGGAACATAATCATAAGGTGTTATTGAACAGCAACCTTGTCCACTAGCTATTCTTCACTGATCAATTTTCTTAATCACTGAGGATCTCTTGAGGTCTGGACTTCTTCCAGCTGTCAGTGAACAGGCTGAACAGGCTGCCTGCCCACCAGTTATCTTAATTGAAAACCAACATTACAGTTACACAGTTGACCTAATTACATTACATTGCGGTGAGCCGAATTAGTGAATCCATGTCAGACTAGCTCCTGGAGATTGGCTACTGCGCTGAAAAACCATAAATTCTGGACAATTTTTCCTTGTGGAAAAAGCAAAGAGAAATCGCAGCTTGTTAACCCACCAGAGAAGCTGTTACAAAGAACCATTAAGTTCATTGTCTAATTAATAGCAGTGGGCTTTGTGTGACCTCTCATCAACCCTCACCAGAGTCCATGTTCAGTCTCAGCTCTTTTGGCAAAAACACCATCCAACTCAGCCCAAAGGAAGAATACCAGACATGAGCTAAAATAGACATTTAGTCTTGTGAATAAATTGAGAAAAACGAAGCTCTCATCCAGAATACACTTGTTTCCCAAACAGAGTAGTCAGCTGGGGTTTTTGGTTTGAAACCAAACATGGAACGAATACCGCCATGCAGAATGCAGGATTAGGTCAGTGTCGTCCTGATGTTTAGATTGTAATTAATGATTTACTTTAATCACAAGAGTTGAGAGCAATTTAAAACTTTCCAGAATCTTGACTGGAATAGACTGTTTTGGACTTGTTCTGTGTCTTTGATGAGTTTACCGAGGACAACACATGTTTTCATTTACTCTTGAAGTCTGACTTGATAGAGTGTATGATAGAGTGATATCCTAAGCATATATAAGTTGCCTTTTGTTATAAGAGGTGATGTGGGGAGCACTCCTTCAGGAAAATGGGCATAAATGGAAATTATTTCTAATTAGCTGAGAAATTAAAGCTGATCCATAACAGCATGACTCAACATCATAATTCAAACCAAAATATATACCTTGCCTTCATTCTGATCGAACCTGTAACAGCTGATATTGTTTGCATGCCTTACCTAACGTCAAGAAAATCAACACGAGGGAATATGAACATTAACGGGTGGCTGTCACTACTATGAAGGATACTGTGTATCTTGGAAGGCAAGACCCATTAGCATGCATGCAACAACCCAGTCTGTCAGGTTTGTGTCTGAGAGAGTAATGGCTTTGGCCGCAGCTCTCGCCAGTAAAAAAGTACCTCTGCTTAACCTCTTCCACTTAAAATCCAAAATATATGTCCCAGAGCAGAAAAAAAGAGATGCACAATGACAGCTTTGTCAGCAGTGAGGTGTTTTGTAAGTAATGGCTCGGCGTGCGGAGCCAAGATCAATCTGCGCACAGGTGTCTGGAGAGGATGTATCACGTTAGTGATCTAACAGTGGTAATGTTGTGTCTATGAAACACTCACAGTGTGACACAGTTAATGAGTGGGGAGGTAACGAAGTTTTTTTAAACTGATTTGTTGGCGTTGTATTTTTTTAAACCATGAGTAGAAAATACAGCGAGCTGTTTATCTGCTATATTTTTCCCCCAAAGTAGTTTTTGTCACCTGCGCATTCAAAGACAAATACATCACCCATGTAAAAGTAATGATTTGTAAGCAAGATTTGTTGAGCTCAGCTGTGCAGGTGTTACTAAATATGCTTAGGCAGGACTGACTGAGAAGGATTTGGTTTGAAGAAGTGGTGAAGTGTGAAGATGGATGCTCCAAGGGTCAAGTCAGTGAGATCCTTCTATTACAAAAGTGAAAACAGGATCCTATGAAATAAATGAGATAGAACAGTTGCCTCACAGCAAGAAGGTCCTGAGTTCAAGTCCACCATCTGCCCGGGGTCTTTCTGTGTGGAGCTTGCATGTTCTCCCCCGTGTTTGCCTGGGTTCTCTCCAGGTACTTCGGCTTCCTCTCACTGTCCAAAGACATGCAGTTAGTGGGGTTAGGTTAATTGGTAACTCTAAATTGCCCGTAGCTGTGAATGTGAGTGGAAATGGTTGTCTGTCTCTATGTGTTAACCCTACGACAGACTGGCGACCTGTCCAGGGTGTACCCTGCCTCTCGCCCTAAGACAGCTGAGATAGGCTTTCACAGGTGGGTTTTAAACTTCTTCTTAAATGTATTAACAGTGTAAATCAACCAATGTTAGTTCTACAACACCTTGGAGCCACAACCTCAAAAGCACCATTTCTCAGCCTGGACTGAGGACACTTTGGTCAGTAGACCTCAAAGTCTGGCAAGTTACATAAGGATTATAAAGCTCACTGACACAGAACATTGACTATGAAGAGTACAGAGAGTCCATCTATCAATCCATTTTCTTCTACTTATCCAATTCAGGGTCACAGGGAGACTGGAGCCTGTCCCCACTGCCATAGGGCGAGAGGCAGGGTGCACCCTGGAGAGGCCATCAGTTGGTCATGGGGCTAAAACAGAGAATCAAATAACCACTCACACCTATGAGTGGTTATTTGATTTAGAATCACCAGTTAACCTAACAACACTAACTGCATGTTTTTGAACTATGTGAGAACGGTTAGTACACAGGGAGAACCCACACAAACATGGGGAAAACATGCAAACTCGTCACAGAAAAGCGCTGGTCACATGGTGGATTCAAACCCAGAACCTTTTTGCTGTGAGAGAACAGTGCTAACCACGGTGCCACCATGCTGAGTTCAGGAAGTGATCACCAAAATCTTGAACTAAGCCTTAAACTTTGTCACATGAGCTAATAAGAAGCCTTGTAGCAGCCTTCTGGACCTTTTGTAGAGTGTAGGGTGATCCTTTTCCTTTTTCACAAAAGATCAAGTTAGTGTTGGATTGGGTGACCCTGTATCCTCCCTTAGTTACACTGCAATAGGCCTAGGCTGCTGGTGGCTTCTCATGATGCACTGAACATTTCTTCTCCTTTTTCTTTTTCTATGCGTTTACACACCACTTTGCAGTTAATCATTAGTTATTATTTATCTCGGGCTCTCTTCCAAAGTGTGTCTTTTCTCCTGTCTTCCTCCCATCCTCTCTAACCAACAGGTGGATCCCCTTTCCTGAGTGTTCCTTCCAGTTTAAAGGGAGTTTTTCCTTCCCACTCTCGCAATTTGCTTGCTCAAATGAAATGGCGAGAGTGGCGAGACAGTCATTGTATGTCTATATAGATCACACCAAACTGAACTGAATTTGATCCAGGGATGGTTTGCTCAGGCAATAAAATGTTTAAAAACAGGATCGTAGAAGACAACCAACTTATTTAGGTTGAACAGCTGATCAAATGTAAACCGACCAAAGTTATCAGGGGCACAAATAAAAACTTCACTATTTAAGGAGCACAATTACATCAACCCGGAAGCCTGACATTGACTGAGGTCCTCATGAACTTTCTGAGACATCGATTAGCTCCTAAGAAACATCATCCTTGACTTCTTCACACGGTGTCATCTTTGAGTGATGCCTTTTGCATCGCGGGTTGCCGGGCACAGCATGTTTCAGTTTCCCCAGCTGTTTTTTGAGCCAGGGACGTTTTTAATATGTGGCTCTTATATTTGGTGGACTCTTGCTGTGTTTCTTTTCACCCTCTATCCTCAGGTTTTTGTGATTGCTTGGTTAAAAGAGTTGCAAGATCGTGGCACTGCAAGTGTTGAAAAGCAACAAGCTGAAAATTAAAGCCACAGAGCGCAGGTAATTATCTGGGTTTGTTGTTTGCTCTTCCTCAGTCTGTAACAAATAAGTATGCTCTGTATCCGTGCAAATGCTTGGCAGTCAATTCAATTCCTTCTGGATGGGGGTCTTTCTTGCTCCCTCTCCCTCTCTGTATCTGTCTGTATGTCTCTCGCTCTCTCTCTCCCTCTCCTTGCTGGCAGGAGCGTCTGTGCTGCTGGCAGGAGTGACCAGAATAAAAACAGCAACACCAGACATAGACGAGGAAATAAAGCAAAGTGATCCACTGAGTGTTTGCCCTCTCATAATTACGTTGAGCTTTTCCCTTTTTTCACCCTCCCCCTGCTTCTTTTTTTTTCATCACTCTTTGAGACTTCGGGGCTAGTGGTAATTAGCCAGAAGAGAATAAAACCAGCTGATCGGGAGAGGGGTGGTGCATTTTGGAGCGAGATGGCTAACAGAAACATTCTGTTGCTCTTCTGTGGACTCTTCCTCTTAGCACTGATTCAACCCTCTCTTCAAGGAGGTAAGTGCATAACCGCAGGTGAATGGAGTCATAACTATTGCTGCATCAATCAAAGGTTTAGAACAGGTGCAAAAAAGTTTTGTTCCTAAACTTAAAATCCTCAGTCATCAAAATGTCTGCTGATGCTTATTAGCCACAAGGCAGCAAGAAGTACATATAAAGGCTTTATATAATAACTAAAATTGATATTGTTTGCATCGGATGTTAAACTTGTGCAAAATAAATAGTTAATTTAAAAAGAGCTCTGCATTATTTTGCTTAGTATGCTTGGTTTGCTAATTTATTGATGACTGCTGCTCATTTGATTTTTATTAATTCCCACAATACAATCTATATAGAAAAGAGTTCTTATTTTATGTTTCATGTTCGCAAAAAGTGTGCACGTACATGCTGTCTATGACTTCACACTTCTGTCCCATGCATTTAAATATTAAGTTTTAAATGCCACATATTTATCTTAATGATTGCACTCCCCTATTGCCTCATTATTATTGTGCAATCTAAAAGTAAACCATAACAAGACGCCCCTCAAGTCTCCGAACTCGCTTCACATGCATGTGTTTTAGGGCATTTCAAACACTTGAACTGGCTCCTGTGTGCACACCTATCCATATGCGTGCTTATGTTTATATGGCTGCAGATCCAATCCAAAAAATGTAAGAGGAGGCTCCAGCTGGCTCTTCTTTCTACTCAGGAAAAAACACATACTTCTGATTCACTCCTGATGAACTCCTGCGTTGGACAGAGTGAATGTGAGAGTGACTCTAAAAGCTTTCTGCAGCTCTTGTAGCATGTGTGTACAGAACCGAGGAGCTAGTTTCAAGTGCAGTTTGTCGTTGAGACTTATCAGTTTCAGACTGAAAGGGAGAGAGTTTGCCTCCCACTATCATTCAGCTAGTGAGTTTGCTTTCTCTCCTCTGCCTGCATTGCTTTGATTGCTTCTTAGTCTGGGATTTGGCTGAGATTCTGAGTTATTCAGTCCCCAACTGGAAAACATGTCAAGCATCTGGGACTGGGTATGCTGTAGTCCATTTGTTGTTGTATTTATTTGCTTAAAAGTTACAGCTGTTTATATTCCTTATCTCCCAGTGTCCAAGTGTACTTTTAGGTGCATTATGGCTATGCTGCTAGAGTCCTAAAATAAATATTTTGTCCATGTAAAGTCTCACTTTTTCTAGCTGTCTTCATCTGATTGTAGAATTTCTTTATCCGTTCTGCCTCATGGCACATCCATCATGTCTTTTCGGTGCCAGGCGCATTTCTGTGGAGATTTTGAGATACTTTCATGAAAAATATATAGTAGGTAAAGGAGCCAGCAAATATCAATATTGGCTTAGCAGCGCAACTTTGATCTCAAGATGAGTGTTGAATCTATCCATTTCAAACATTTCTGTGGTGCTCAAACTAGTTCCATCTGTGTCTGTGCACTCTAACCTGAAAAAACCTTCTGGGCACAGTCCAAGGGTAAATTATCTGTGAGTAACACGAACCTCATTAACACCCAATCCACCCATTTAACGGTTCTGCCCAGAAAATGCCTCTTGTGCCTGACAAATTCACGCTTTGAATTATGGTGGACTGACAACCCTCTCTGAATAACTTCAGTCAACAAATGTAAATGAGAAATGGTACTGGAGGAAATATACAGTTACTATAGTTTGTTTGTTTGGATCTCCCTCATGTGATGAAAGAGGCGGACCAACTTGAAGCTTTTTAAACAATGCGTCCTATAGAACACTAGCTATGGTTTTAAGTATCTCAAGTACCTCAGTCCATATGTTGCATTCACACAGACCATAAAACAATTTAACTGGCCTGTGCCACGTTTTGAGCTTGGCTTCAAGGACAAACAAGGACAGAGTTAATGGCACAACTCTGATTGGCAGGACTTGGCTCTGAGCTCTGATAAAAAGGGGGGGAAAAGTAGTTTTCTTCCTTCAAAGTGTCCAAAGAATTCAGGAGTTTGGGATTTTTTTTTTTTTCTTTAGTGCTGCTGGAAGCCAGTTCCACTCATTTGGCATTAGTCATGATGAGCCTCGAGGAATATAATACATTAATCGGTGCCAGTCGCCTGGCTCTAGGTGAACTTAAATGCATTGCAGAGTGGACTGCCATGCAAAAGCCAAAACACCAGTGTTGACATGCAGCAGTACCTGAGAGTTACTGGTGGATACCTAAACTCGATGCACTACTTTATTGGTAGCATGTGCTGTGAACACTTCTTTGGCTTTAATCCCTCCTCTGGTGGGGCGGGTTGCCAACCACAGTATACTGGATTAATGTGACATATAGGTGCTCCCAGCGCTCAACAGCTCTACTCTGCAATTACTGAAGCAGTCTATTTGAAGTACCGTCTGAACAAGATGCAGATTTTTTGGTGGCGGGAGGGAGATTTTACCAACAAGGTTCTTCTTCTGCTTCTCTCTAGCTGGAGCCACACAAGCATTTTAATTTGTTGACGTTGAGCGGTTTGGTGTAATTTCCAGCAAGGTGACTTCATTCAGTACACATTTGGATAGAAGCTGTTTAGTTACAAGCACTGATTGGTTTGTTATTGTGAAAGAACTTTTATTCCATGTATACATGTCCCACTCTGGCGCATTTCCTGAGAAAGTGTTAGGGAATTGTACAATTCCATCCATGTTTTACATCAAAGAGGTTTTGCAAAGTCACTCTCTGCATCAAAGCACAAAGCCAGGAGCGATTACTAACATGTTGGCTTTCCTATCGCTCTTTCTTTTTTTTCCTTTTATCATAACTACTGTTAAGAAGGTTACACAAATCGGAGCAGAGGTTAGGGATGGATGAGTTGTTTTAATACGCATTATGTAATTTGAAGAATAATGCACTGCTAATATCCAGGGAACAACCTCTTAGTTCTTGCACTTCTTTTTTTTCACTACCAGTCTTGACTTTATAAACCCAGCACACAGTTTAATGGAAACCAATTCTTTCTCTGACTCACTGCTTTGCAAACCCAATGTGTTACGATTTAAATGCCTACAGATTTTGGATAGTAGTCACTTCTCACCACTGCTACAAAAACATATCAATAATTTGTTTAGCTCTTACTCTTTGTGTGTAAATGTCAGTCTGAGCATCTTCCAGTCAGATGTTTGGTCTGCAATCGAGGAGTGCCAAGTGTTCAACAAAGAGGCACATTATCTCCGATGATTCATTCCAGCCACTATGCAAGCAGCCCTCACCAGGCTGCGAGCTGGTAGGTGCAATCTTACCGGGCCAGCAATCTGAAGTGGCTCCAGTCAGGAATTTTTTCATCTTCGGCCGCCACAGCTGATGTCCAACTTCTTCTTTTAGGTTTACAACAAACACCACAACAGCACTATTTTTTTATTTAAAAAGACACAAAAGAGGATGAGCTGATGAGGAAAAAATGGAAATAAACTATAATTTTAATCAAATGCATCACATGAGGTTAATCAAAATCATCAAAGTCCTCTGCGGTGAAACAATGTATCCTGTGTTGTGATTGATTTTTTTTTTTTTTGGGGGGGGGGGGTAATCAAATGCACTTTATTAACTGATCAGCAGCAAATGTGAGCATGTCTATAAAAGCAGAAGTTTTTTCAGTTTTCTGGTCTGAAGCATTCAGGTGTGTGTGTTAACACAATGCCATCTTCCAGCATTGTGATCAGTTCCAGCAAGTTGACACCAAGGACAGCCTGTGCAATCCTCAGAGAGACTGCAACAAACCCAAGAGCAACATCTCAGACTGTACATGCCTCAGTTAGTACATTCAATGTTAAAGTTTCAGACCTGAACAGCTTAGGTTTACAGGTCTGCAAACCATAATGCATGGCGCCACGTTTGGTAAAACCCAAACACAGCTATCAGCACAAAAATCACAGTCCTGGTGGAAAGATGATGATTTCAGATTGTGTTGCAACTACTGAGCCTGGGCACCTTGCAGTCACTGAGTCGACCATGAACTCCTCTGTACAACAAAATATTCTAGAGTCAAATGTCAGGTCTGTCCGACAGCTAAAACCCGTTATTTCACTAGCTGGACCCACGTCCTGATTTTAAGTTTGACAGCATTTTAGTATGTAAAGGTGAATGCGTGGACATGAATTGAGCTGCAATTTGGGGAAAGTCTCGAAGGGGACTGGCTGCTGCTCCTGGGCCTGGCAGATCCCCATGTACTAAATAGAAGTGAAGAAGTTAAAGAATTGAAAAGGTAAGGGAGGGTGGGGCACGTAAACGAGAATGAACAGCTTGTAGAACTGGGAGAACCTATATAGATGAGAACTGGAAGGAGCATGTTTGGAGGCGTGGTCCCGCTCCTGAAATTCCGATACCTAATCTCCAATTGACCATGCAACAGGACAGTGATCCCAAGCACAAAAGAATGGAAACAAAAGTGTTGCAATGAGCCAAAGTCTATGCCTAAACATGACTGAAATGCTGCGGTGGGTCCTGTGAAAACCCTCCTTTTCATTACTTTATAGGGGATTTCTTTGCAAAGCACAACACATTTTGAGAAACAAAACTTTTTCATATCTTAAACTATATTTTATAATAATAATAATAATAATAATGGATTTGATTTATATAGCGCTTTTCAAGGCACCCAAAGCGCTTTACAATACCACTATTCATTCACTCTCACATTCACACACTGGTGGAGGCAGCTACAGTTGTAGCTACAGCTGCCCAGTTAGTTGGTACACTTCACAGTGGTGTTATGTTCAGGTGTCCCATCAGTTAACTTGGTTTTTACCAAGTCAAAAGAAATGCAGGGGACACATTTTGGAACATTGCAAACAGTGGATAATGATTTTAGTCATTTATGGTCCTTTTAACATTTCATTTGTAACTCTGTATCAACCAGTGGAACCAACAATCACATAAATCAGATTTTGGAGGGGAGTCATAACATGAACAACTTGTTCCATTAGCTTGTAGTGATTTCACATGGTTGATGGTTATCTCCAACCACGGCCCAGTTTCCTCCGTAATGCTCACGCTTGCAATCCTCA